TGTCTCTTTTTTTTTTTTTTTTCTTTGTTCCCCACCACTTCTCTCCTTCCATCCCTCTGGAATTTTTTCCACTTATGCTCTCCTTTTTTTTCAGTGGCAAAATTAAAAAAAAAATTAAAAACAGCAGTAAATAAAATACTGAAATCCAGACTCTTCTTGTTTTTCATTGGCAAGCAGAATTTCAAAAGAAAATTTGCAAAAAAATTTATTTTCACTGAAAGCACATTTTTCCCTTTAAAAAAAAAGAAAAGAACATTTTTCGAGCATTCTAAATCGGAGAGATTTGCAGAAAGAAGTGAAAAGGGAACAGAGGGAAAATTCATGAGGGGAGAAATGACTTGGTTGGGGGAATTAAAAGTGAAAGGGAAGAGTTTGGAGAATGAAAGGAAAGGGGATCTAGAAAGTTAAAACGGCTTTGCAGAAATACATAAACTTTTATGGGGAAGTGAAAGGATAAATGGTAACGTAAGGCATTGGGTGAGAGGATATGATAAAAGCAAGTGAGGTTTTTTTGCAAAAGGCTGGTGATTGGTACTCTTCACATTCAGTAAATTTTACTGAATGCACTGAAAAATTTGCTTGGCCAGTACTCTTCTACTGTAGCAGGGCTCCTGGTTTTCTCTGTTTTAAAAATTCAAAATTCTCTGATTTTTAAAAACCCCAAAATCCACATTTTCCAGCAATTAAAATAAAATGCCACATATGTATAGGTATCAGTCTAAAGTGGTAAATATATCAATAAAACTGATTGTTAAAGCAATTTGGAAGCCTACCGGTGCCTCAGTCATTATAACAAAATTAATTCTAAATACGTATATATTTTGGCATTTGATTTTTGGTGTTTTTTATCATGGAAAATCAGACTTCCCCCTGTCCCCTTTGCTCACCAGGAAGTGAGTCCAGCTGTGATGGTCTGTTCTCCTGCCCCCACCCCTTCCCAGATGCTTTGTGTTTCTGAGCAGCCTGATATGCCACTGCCCTGTCCTTGCCCATGCTGTTTCCCCTCACAAGCCATAATCCCCCAACCCCCAGGCTGTCACTGTCTACCTGCAGAGCCCTCCCTCCAGCCCTGCTGGTGCTCCTCACTTCTGAACCACAGTCCCCTGTCCCCCCCCACAAGCCCAGCTGCCCTCCACCCTGCCTGGCCCTGGATGGACTCACAGGAGGGTGGTCTGGGGGGACACAGTGGGTATAGCCTCCACCATGAGGTGTGTGCAGTGTACCTCATGTGGGAAGACAGGCAGCTGGGGCACCACATGCTGCCCTGCACCACTGGCTGAGCTGGGGTACAGCACAGCGTGGTATGGAGGACCTGTGCTGTGCAGCTGCAGCCTGAAGCAGAGCAAAACTGGCCCAGCCATGCTGCAGGCAGCAGGAAGAGGGGGAGGGGCTCCTGGCTCTGTCCTGCCTGAGCTGGAGGATGGTGGCTGCGGCTCATGTTGGCAGTAGCCAAGCAAGCCTGGTCCAGGTACAGGTGGGAGGAAGAAGAAGGAAATGCCTGCGGCACCCCCTGCCCCCCGCTCCTCCCACCAAGCATGGTCTCTCAGCTGCCCTGTCCCTGCAAGCGTGGGCACTAGTGCCAGTAGCCCAGCTCCACAGCTACCCCACCCAAAGGAACACTCATGGCCACCCTGCCTGGCCCAAGATGCATACCAGCTGGATGTCTCTTGGGTGTGCACTAAAATACTTTTATTGGATTATTTTACAGTTATAACATGAACTGTAACAGGGTCACACTTGGAGAGTGGTGGTGGATGGGTCAGTGTCAACCTAGAAAGATGTGTGCAGTGGAGTCCCTCAGGGCTCAGTTCTGGGGCCTGTGCTGTTCAACATCTTCATCAGTGATCTGGATGAAGGGGTGGGACCCTGTCCAAATTCGTGGATGACACTAAAATATGGGATGAAACTAACACCCTGGAGAGGAGGGACCATATCTAGGCTGACCTAGACAGGTTGGGGAAGTGGGCAGAGAGCAGCGGGATGCAGTTCAATAAGGACAAGTGCAAGGTGCTGCATCTAGGGAGAAAGAGCTGCCATCATGCTTATAGGCTGGGGGGTGACCTTATCAGCACCACTGAGGCAGAAGGAGATATTAGAGACAGTGTTGACTCCAGGATGAACATGAGTCGTCAGTGTGATGAAGTAGTTGGCAGAGCCAATCGCACCTTGTGCTTCCGTAGGTGCTTCACATACAGGTCTAGGGAGGTGATTCTCCCTCTCTACATGGCACAGGTCAGGCTGCAGCTGGAGTACTGTGTCCAGTTCTGGACGCCACAGTTCAAGCAGGATGCGGACAACCTGGAGAGGGTCCAAAGAAGAGCTACTCGTCTGATTGGAGGCCTGCAGGGAAGGCCCTACGAGGAAAGGCTAAGAGACCTTAAGCTTTTCAGCCTGACAAGAGAAGGCTGAGGGGGGACCTTGTGGTGGCTTACAAATTCATAAGGGGAGAGCAACGTGAAGTAGGCAGCAATCTGTTTACCAGGGCAGCCCCTGGAACAACAAGGAACAATGGCCATAAGCTACTGGAGAGTAGGTTTAGACTGGACATTAGAAAAAAGTTCTTCATGGTCAGGGTTGCCAGGATCTGGAATGGGCTTCCAACAGAGGTGGTGCTCTCCCCATCCTTGGGGGTCTTCAAGAGGAGACTGGACAGGCACCTGGCTGGGATCACATGATCCCAGGTTTGGTGACCCTTTTCTTGCCTGCCGGGGCAGGGAGTTGGCCTAGATGGCCCACTGAGGTCCCCTAGAATCTATGAAATCACAAAAGTACATTTCTATCAAATCCTATGCAAGATATAGGCTTAAGAATGACAAAACTGAACACAGTTTCACACTAGCTGCAAATAAAGACTAAACACCACAGGAATGAATCTGATTTGGCAAAATACCTCTGCATGTGGCACGATAAGCCCCAAATGCAACTGGGTTTTGAGGTAAAAATGTTTGCCTGTCACAGATTCATGTGCCTATTGTTTTTTAAACTTTTGCCTATTGACCAGCGTTATTGGTATAGATTATGGCAGGGGTCGTGCCATTAGTGGCATGCGGAGACATTTTTCCTGGCACGCAAAGAAATTGGGGGTTTTTTTTTTTTTTTTTTTTAAGTTGCTGCTCCAGGATCTCCTGTGTAGCCCCAAGTCTCAGTGCCATGGCAGGCACTGGGGCGAAGCCAGAAGAATGCAGGGAGGGAGGCTGTTTGTTCTCTACTGCCCCCACCCCTTGGTCCTGCTGTACCCTCCAGCCCAACTGGCACCTGGAGGGACCTGCCCAGGCAGGCAGATGTCCTGTTCCACCTGGGGCAGCACTGAGGTGCCAAGTGCTGGGGCTGGGCAGTCGGGACAGGGTCTGGGCAGCATGGGAGGAGGTGCCATGGGCAAGCCAGCCCGGTCAGGCCCTTAGGAAGGTGGGGGCTGGGCAGGAAGTGGGGGCTGCCCTGGGGCTCTGGAGGCTCGAGCTGTGGTGGGTGGGCAGGCAGAGGTGCCCAGCAGCACCCGTGGTGGGGTCTGGGCAGCCTGTGCAGCTCAGCAGGGATGGGCCATACCCACCTTGTGCACGTGGGGATGCTGCCTGGCTGGGGCAGGACGCTGGGCTTGGGAGGCTTCTCTCTCCAGGATTGGCCTCCCTGCATGCTGGGCATGGTGCAGGCAGGGCAGAGCCGACTTGGGTGCAGGGGCCTGGCCGAGGGAGCCCCCTGGAGCCTGGGAACAGCCACCACGGCTGCCTCAGCCTGCCTGGGTCCCAGCCTTGCCCACCTGCAGCTCCCCTCAAGGGGCCAGAGCTGGAGCAGGCACTGCACAGAGCCACTGTGCTGCAGGCTCCTGGCTGGCTTGCCCCTATGTACTGCCTGCAGCGGCTGTTCCCAGAGCCTGGGGAACAGCCTGTGGCTGCAGCTCCCACTCCCACTGTACCTGGCACACACAGAGACCAAGCAGGAGCCCCCTGAGCCCGGCATCATGCCCCAGCCAGGCAGTGTGCTCACTTTGTGGGCAGTGGCTGTGCCCCATCCCTGTGGAGCTGCACAGGCCAACTGGGCCCCACCTCTGGTGCTGCTGGGCCCCCCCGCTGTGGCCTGAGTAGTGGAGCCCTGGGCAGCCCCCACTCCCTGCTCCCCACCTGACACCAGCTCTCAATTTACTGTAAGAAAATAAATAAATAAAAAAGCAACATTAATTTTATTCATAGTATTAAATATGCAGGGCATCCTGCCATGTACCCCCTCCATCCCAGTTTTGTTTTTGTGGCATGCTGGCACTCTGGCACCTTACAAGGTAGACATTGTGGTTTTTTTCAGCACTCCAGCCAAAAAATGTTGCCTACCCCTGGATTATGGTATGGATTGTTAGGATGTATGGACATGCCTATTCTGCTATAAGGTTTTTTCAATGTAGCATAAATTCTGTCTAATCATTAGTGTCCTATTATACTGCAGGCAGCAACCAAATATTGAGTTGTGTTAGTGTAACTATATTGGTTTCAGTGCACAAATTAGATTGCACTAAAAATAGGGCCAAGTGACACCCAAAAGTGGGACCTAGACACACAAATCCTACTGAAAACTTTATTGTCCTGTCTCAAGCTGAGTAATAATTGAGTGAATATGCCAAGCCCTGCTACTATTATTTCATATGTTTTGTAGAAGGCTGGAGACGTATTTAAAACCATTTTTTTAAAAACAGATTGTCCATTCTCGTATTAAGTAATAGAATAGTAACACCCGGAGACCCCAGTTCAGGAGTGCAGCACATTGGGCTGTGCACATACAAGACTCATAGTATGAGACAGTTGTTGGCTAGCAGATAAGGGTTATTAGAACTGATACTTTTGGGTCATTTGCAGGGTGCTAGTGTATTTACAGACAGGCCCTTCTTTACAGACAAAAGTCCCTGATCCAGGAAGCAACCATTGCAAGTGTCCTGTAAACCTAATCCTTTATGGTAGACTTTCTCAGGACTGGTCTTCAGTTTTAAACACAAACTTCCTATGTATATGTTTCTACAGGTAGCAGTGCATTTACTATTCGCCATGAGAGAACCAACAAGTGCCTACAAGTTAAAAACTCACGGATAGTGACAGGAGACTGCAAAGAGACACATGAGACCTTATGGAAATGGGTCTCCCGAAATCGCCTTTTCAATTTGGGATCCAAACAGTGCCTTGGACTAAATCTAGCCAATCTTCAATTTCCTTTGAAAATGGTTGATTGTAACTCCCAGCTTATGCTATGGTGGCGATGTGCTGATGCTTCTGTAGTTGGTGCATCCCGGTACAAGCTGACTTTGAAGAATGAAATTCTTGTAACTGCAAGTATAAATTCATCAGACTGCTGGAGAAGAAACAACTCTTCTGATGATATCTGCCAACAGCCTTATCGGGGTAAGTCTGTGGTTTTAGTTTGGAAGAAGTGTAAGTGCTTTGTTTTTTTGTTTGTTTGTTGTTGTTTTTTTGCCATAGCTTTGGTATCTATTAAGTCTGACTGAAGGAATAAAATGCTCTGTGACAAAAAAATAATAATTTCGTTGAGTCAATGCACAGTTTTAAAAAGGATGGCATTTATCTATTTACCACAGAAGAGCACTGTCAAGAGAGGCTAGTTTGAAACACCATTCTTTGATATATGAAATGTTAGACACCTTCCACAAGGATTATACTTTATAGGCCTGGTTCTGCCCCTGGTTAAAGCCATGAGCATTTTGCCATTAACTTCTGTGAGAGCAGGATTTCAGGCTATTTTCTTGGTACTGATTAGTAGTATGATCAGTATGATCTGACTGGTATAATTCAGGTACAGAAGAGTAGCATGTTATAGACTAATTCAGTCAGTCATGAGCTTTCATAAGCTACAGCTTACTTTTCTGATGCCACGATTGATTACTTGCAGTGTTTATAATATTTATCTACAGATTATTGTGAACCACAATAACTGCTGCTACTTGGACAGATTCTGAAAATGTAGAGAGAAATAGGCACTTTTCCTAGCAAAAATGTCTATCCACTTTTCCCAGCATTCCCCACTTTACCCAACAACAGCATTGTTTTAAATATTAAAAATTAGTAATGTTTTTGCAATAATCCACTCATTTTTTGGTAGAAAAATAAATATAGGTTTATACTGTGACTTTATCTCAAGCCTTGTATGAAGGGTGGCAAGCAGCTACAACACTTCAGGAGTACTACAGGGGAAGATGGGGAGAGACAGTTTTCTTTCAGTGCTGGCTCATCACCAGGGATATGAGTTTTCTGTTTCCCACGGAAAAACAGAAAAGATGTAGATTTCCCCTTTTAACAGAGAGAAAAAGCAGGTTTTTAATTTTAACAAAAGGTACCTTCAGATTTTCTACTTTTGCAGAGAACTGTCTGCAAGCTTCTTGCAAAAAGGGCAGCAAACCCTAAGCCCTGTCCCAAGGGGGAAGGGGTGGGGCCTGAGGCTGTCAGTCAGGGCTTGGCTCAGGCTCACTTTTGCTCCTGGAGCCTTTGAGGTAAGTGGGGCTTGCAGGGGGCTGGGGTGAGCTGGTGGCGCCCTGTGGTGGGGCTGGGGGTAAGGGACTGCAGGTTGGGTATGGAGGGCAATGGCGGGGGGGTGCTCTGTGGGGTGGGAGCTGGTGACTGCCAGGGCTGGCAGGGTTGTGGGAAAAGCTGGCAGGGTGGGAGGTGTAGGCGGGTGCTGAGGGAGTGGGGAGGTTTCTGTAGGAAGCCCCATGTGGAGGGCTGGCTTGTCCCCATGGTGCATGGACTGGGAGCTACACGCCATCAGGCTGGGCGGGAAGCCATACATGGAGGCACAGAGTTGTGCACCATTGGGCTGGGTGGGCTTCTGCTTGCCTCCATGTATGGCTTCCTGCTGGAGCGCTGCAAGCCCCATGTGGAGGCACGGAGCCTGCCCAGCCTGGTGGTGCGTGGGTTCTGCCTGCAGTGTTGTGAACTGCACATGCTGGCATGGAGCCAGCTCGGTGTGGTGCAGAGGTGCATGCCAGCTCCATACCAGCATGTATAAGGCCTGGGACTCAGCCAAGCCACACGCTGCCAGGGCCTCTGCCTGATGCGAGCATGAACACCCCAAGGGTCTGCTGCTGCTGAGCCACTGGAAGTGGGGTACCAGCACAGCAAATCACACACACACACACACACACACACACACACACCCTTCATATCCCCACCCACAAACCCCACATACTTCTGTACCCACACCCACCCTCCAACCCCATACACACCCATACCATCATATACTCCTTCACAACCCCCTCAAACTCCACACCTGCCCATAAAACCCCTCCACACACACACCCCTGTCCACCCTTAACACAGCCGCAGCCCAGGCCTCCTGCCAGGAAGAGACTGGCACAGCCCCCAGCCACGAGCATGCAGTGAGCAGCCCGCCCTCACCCCGTTCACAGATCCGGGGGCACATGCTCCCCATGTCTCCCCAGGGTGTGCACAGTGGTGGGAGCCCCCCTCCCCCCCCCCCCCGTGCCTCCTGGACGAGCTGCTCATAGTTCCTATCCCACACCGTGCTCCACCCCACCCCAGCTATGCAGCCCCTGTCCCAGTTCCATTCCCTCCCCCACACCCCTTCTCCCCAGCAGACTTATCAGCCAGATGCTGCTCTCCAAGCTGTCGGGGTGTATATCAGCTATTGGATTGGTATCAGCCAATATGGCTGGTCAATAATTGATTTTTATCAGAGAATTTGCTATTTTTATCAGAGAAAATCAAGATCCCTGCTCATCATACCCTCTGTCTGTTTCCTATTTACTGGCTCCACAGAGGAGTGAGAGTATTCAGTATTTTCTTATTCCTCTGTACTTGGGCTCAAGATCTACGTAGTTTGCACAGGACTGAAATAAGGGGTCTTGCTTTCCTCTTTCATTAACTACATAGTTCTAAGCACAGTCTCTCTTTCAGTAACTGTCATTTTCTGTAGTCGTCATCCAGTCAGTCTATAGGATTGCAAACTCCTATTGCAATTGACGGGTTGGGCTTGAGTAATATCTGAAGAGTTTGGCATAATAGCTATTTCTTTAGTGCGGATATGAGTAGTCTTTCTGCTGTGGGAAGCTAAGATGTGGGGAAATATAAAAATCAGTGCCTCCTTCCAAACAGCTCAACAACTGCCTGGCTTGAAGGAAATCTGTTAGATTCGCTGTAACAGTAGCATGATGATGATGGATGAGCAGGGCAGGAGCCCCCCGGTGCTGCCTAAGAGGGAGTATAGCGAGCAGAGGTTTGCTGCTGCAGGGGATGGGAAATGCCAGCTCAGGATGGGGTAAGATCCAAGACAACCTGCACACGGAGCTGTCTGAAGTCAGTGCACTAAGAAGGCAGATGGAAGTGGCCAGTAAGAAATTCCATTCCACAGCTCAGGCATCTCCATCTACCTTGAATCTTCTTCTGAGTCTTCTCCTAGACCTCTTCTTTCAAAAATGGGGCAGGGATCACTTTCTTATGATTTAAAACACCAAGAGGAAGAGGTAGTGGGAGGTTCCCCCCCCTTTACACCATTGCCTGATGATTACAACATTCACCCAGTACTTTAAACACTGGACTTCCTCCACCTTGGCAGATTCAAATCTGCACCTTCCCCACTGTCCCACCCCCAGTAGAGTGCCCAAAGTCCCAGGCTCTAGGTTGCTCTACCATGGCATCCCCTCCTTTTGAAGATCTAACACTGTGCAGAAAAAGATCAAGAATCATTGGGTCAGAGAGAGAGAGCAAAAGTAAGCGTGACTTTGTAACTTCATGTTTATGGCATGCTTCTGGGCGTGGGGAAACTAGGTTCCTCTGCTACTGCTGCTTTTAGTTTATAGTATTGGGTAACAATTGTGTATGTTGCAGGCAGCTGAATCTTACTTTGAACAGCTGAAAACTATCTAGATTGTCATTGATGTAATGGTTTTCTTGTCCTCTGTTATAGCACCTCCAGCTCTGTGCTTCTCTTGTCCACTTGCATGACCAGAATAAAAAACAGCGTAATTTTCAACTGTCATCTTTCCTGTACTTTACAAATATATCTCCTCTGTGGCAGCAAGGGAACTTGTAACTTCCTTAACTCTTATGTTACTGTCTCAGTGTGACCTGGAGCAAATGGAGTTCTAATATTCCAGATTACAATAACAGTTATATATTTAATTATTGTCCCAAACCCATAACCATTTCAGTTAGGGAAGCCTGATACCAGGTCTGGGTCAATATCCATATAAATCATTTTAGCTCCTAAACAGTTTCTAAGTTTTGGATGTAATAACCTATTAGTCCAGTCCAGCTTATGGGAATACTATATCTCAGCCTGCTGGACTGTTTGGTGTAGACATCGACAGTTCCAACCTTTCCAAGTTAATAAGCTTGGATTGATCTGATTTGCAGAAAGAATTTTCCTCTTCTAGGCAGACTTGCCTGAAAAGTCTTATGAAAGATTTGTCTACCTGGTTTTCTTTCCCCTAAACAGTTTTGCCTGAGAGGATAAATAAGCTTGGTCAGTCCTATATGGGGAAAAGAGTTTTCCTCTTTTAGATATTATTGGTTCACGCATTATGACTTATGCTATAATATTTGATGCAACCTATCTAGGTTTCCCCGAGACAGATGGGGACAGGCTATCATTTGGAGTACACCTCTGTGTTGGTATATTCCAGTGCAAGAAAAACAAGCTACAGAATTTTTTCCTCTAATCTGTTGTTTTGATAGATTGAGTTAACTTTAGAATACTGCTGTATAAATAACAACTTTTATTTGATCTTTCTTTTCAACAAACTAAATACTCTGTTTGGTTGTTTCTCTTACAGAGATCTTTACCAAGGATGGCAACTCCTATGGAAAGCCCTGCGAATTCCCCTTTCAAGTTAATAAGACCTGGTATCATGATTGTATTCGGGACGAAACACATACAGGTGGTGAATGGTGCGCCACATCTGATAGTTATACTCGGGATGGCTCCTGGGGAATCTGCCTAAAACCAGGTATGTAGAGTTTCTAAATGGATATCCTAAGGGACTTCTGCTATTTCATGTGTGTGCGTCTCCATTTTTGGTGCCATGTCTGTTAAACTAGGGGTGGGCAAAATACGGCCTGCAGGCCAGATCTGGCCCGCCAACTGATTGGATCCAGCCCATGGGGGCCACCCACAAATTGGGTGGATCCAACCAGCGGCTGCCCCCACAGCGCTTCTCAGGGGGCCAAGCCCTGCCTGGGGCAGCCTGTGCCACGCTGCAACCCGCACCCACCTACCCAGCCCCAACCAGTTACAGCTAGCTTACTGGCAGGTCTGTTCCTGGTGTGGCTGCAGCCATCCAAGTGCTGCCTAGTGGGGCTGTGCAAAGCTTTTGGTCACTGATTCAATTTGGAGGAAATTTGGCCCTATTCAGCAGTCAAATCTCTGAATCTAGATCTAATCAGGAGACCCATTAATCTTTCCGAATTGAATTGAAAGTCTCCAAATCAATTCGGGGAGATTCAGTGATTCGGCCATAGACGCAGCTTTATATGTTTTTTTCTACTTACCTCAAGGTACCAGACGTGGCTTGTGAGCACTGAGATGCTGGGGCAGATGGAGCGTCCCACGGGTGCACCGTGGCGTCCTCCTCACACTCAGCAGTGGACCGGAAGTACTTCTGGTCCACTTCAGGGTCTGCCATAGAGCATGTGGTAGACCCTCTGCCCCACCCCAGCTCGGTGACTGGTGCCTCGTGGTTCTGGGGGGGCACCCGGGGTCCCCCCGCAGCCAATCGCTGAACTCTGGAGGCGGGGGGATCCACCTAGCGTGCGGGAAACAACCCCCCCGCACTTCTGTGGGATGCTCCATCTGCCCCAGCATCTCAGCATTCATGAGCTGTGCCTGGAACCTCAAGGTATGTAGAAAAAACATAAATCTGTGTCTATGGCCAAATCACTGATTCTCCAAATCAGAATCGAACTTTCAGATTCAGCCGAATCGAATTGGGACAGTGATCCGAATCAGCAAATCGAATCACTGTCCCCCAGATCGGGCTGAATCCGAATTGAATACTGCCCACTTTGTAAACCCTGACTGTTGGCTCCCCTCACCTCCAGCAGTGCCGCCTCCTCCTGCTCTCTGCCCCACTGCTCCAGGCTAGGAGGAAGCTTCAGCTGGGCAGCTCCTGCACCACTGCACAGGGCTCTGGCTCCAGCTCCCAGTTGCCTTCCACCCACTCAGCTGCCTGCACCAGGAGCAACCCTGCCAGAAGCCATGCATGCCGGCCGGGGCTGGGCCAGCAGGTGGTGGCTAGAGCATATCATGGGATGCCCTGGGCAGGTTTCAGCCCCGTGCGGAATGCAACAGGGGCAGCCACATACCTTGCCACCCAGGTGAACTCTGG